TGCCTCTATCGTTCCAATTAAAAGAAATAAGAACGAGAAGAAATAATTAAAACCGTCTTTTGGTGTAAACAATATGCTATTACTCTTTATAAAGTGACATTTAATTGTTTTGAAAAATTTATTCACGATATTTGTTTTTTCGGTGTCTGTTTGCATTCTAGTCGCCATTTTGGGTTCGCCATTTTGAATTTTCAAAAAGGCCATACGTCATCGCAAACTAGACATTTCAATGAAAATTTTAAGCCCTTTTAAAGAATTTTATCTAAAAAATTGAAATGGGCAGGGGGGTGGCCGATTTGACAGAGAACACCCCATATATATATTTATTTATTTATTTATTTATTTATTTATTTATTATTGTTGCTACTTTCATGTCAAAGCACTATCATGTAGCTTTAGTTTCCAGTATGTGTTCTTTTGCCGAAGTGTAAACAAGTGTAAACAACATTGTTTTTTTTTTTAGCATTGAATATGTCGAATTTTGTGTCAATAAAACGCAATTTGCGAGAAGCTTTGCTTTTTTGCTTCCATTTAAAGAAAAGTACTGCTGAAAGTCAACGAATGCTGTCGGAAGCTTATGGTGATTATACTCCATCGATTTCAACATATGAGTACTGGTTTCGACGCTATAAAAAAGGTGATTTTGACACGAAAGACAAGGAAGAACGTTCAGGCCAGCCGAAAAAGTTTGAAGATGAAAAATTGGAAGCTTTACTCGATCAAGACCCGAGTCAAACGCAAGAAGAACTTGCAGAATTCCTGGACATGTACTTTGACATTTTCTTTCTGAAGTTAACTTCGTTTCAACTAAACGAAATTATACGAAGAATAAGAAAAAACCAAGCACTCAAATTCATAATATTGTGAACCCTCATATGTAGTTATAAAGAAATAATAAATTTTATCCTTTAACATGTTTATTTCTTTTCTTTTCCTCAAAAGCGTCTTTTTCTGTATTCACATTTATATTCTTCAATAAACTCCAGAAATTCCTACGATGCTGACGTTTACATGGGTAATACTCTTCCTCACTCCTCACCCCTCCCCGCGTCTCAACATAAAAATCAAAGAAACCGCGACCAAACATCGCATAACCATAACTGTCCAGACCTGCTCTCGCTTCTCTGCCTATCTCGCTCTTCTAACTTTCAGGAAACATCTTTTCTTTGAATTTTCCGGTGACATCTCCCACCCTCAACTTCTCAACGTGAGGAACGATGCAAGGAGTGGAAAGAACCAATCTCCGTGAATAACCATAGCTGACCACTAAACGAACCAATAGATCATCCTTACTCTTACACGTAGCATCTGACGACTACCCCCTCCCGCTAGCCCCCTCCCCACCATTGTCTAACGTTTAGTAGATCCCTTTTCGCCTAAATTTTCCAGGTCACATTCAGCATTCTCAACTTCTCGAAGTAGACGACGAGGCGGAGGGGCCTTCCGGTAAAAACCAATCACCATGAATATCCATACCTGACCACTAAACGAACAAATAGCATAGACCTCACCCTCATACAGGAGCATCCGACGACTCCCCCCTCCCCCTAGTTCCTCCGTTGACACCTACTCCTTCTCGATTGATGAGCGCGTCGAGAAGGAGTAGGTGTCAACGGAGGAACTAGGGGGAGGGGGGAGTCGTCGGATGCTCCTGTATGAGGATGAGGTCTATGCTATTTTTATGTTGAGACGCGGGGAGGGGTGAGGAGTGAGGAAGAGTATTATCCATGTAAACGTCAGCATCGTAGGAATTTCTGGAGTTTATCGAAGAATATAAATGTGAATACAGAAAAAGACGCTTTTGAGGAAAAGAAAAGAAATAAACATGTTAAAGGATAAAATTCATTATTTCTTTATAACTACATATGAGTGTTCACAATATTATGAATTTGAGCGCTTGGTTTTTTCTTATTCTTCGTATAATTTCGTTTAGTTGAAACGAAGTTAACTTCAGAAAGAAAATGTCAAAGTACATGTTCAGGAATTCTGCAAGTTCTTCTTGCGTTTGACTCGGGTCTTGATCGAGTAAAGCTTCCAATTTTTCATCTTCAAACTTTTTCGGCTGGCCTGAACGTTCTTCCTTGTCTTTCGTGTCAAAATCACCTTTTTTATAGCGTCGAAACCAGTACTCATATGTTGAAATCGATGGAGTATAATCACCATAAGCTTCCGACAGCATTCGTTGACTTTCAGCACTACTTTTCTTTAAATGGAAGCAAAAAAGCAAAGCTTCTCACAAATTGCGTTTTATTGACACAAAATTCGACATATTCAATGCTCAAAAAAAAAACAATGTTGTTTACACTTGTTTACACTTCGGCAAAAGAACACATACTGGAAACTAAAGCTACATGATAGTGCTTTGACATGAAAGTAGCAACAATAATAAATAACCGTAGGAAACAAAGTTTACATGCTGTAGGAAAACGATGCAATAAAAAAAAATAAAATAAAATACGTAAGTCACCATGAATAATCCCCACCCGATTTACAATTAGGGGAACATACTGCCTCCTCACTTCCAATATTAACAATTTTTTATTCCTCATATTACCTCCTCCACCGCACCTGGAAAATTCACCATCTTCTCCCACCATTCTATTTCGGGACTCTCCCCCCACTCTCGAATCATCCTCAACAAACCTCTAAGGATCTTCCCCCAGCCCTCGACACAATGGCGCCAGGTTTTATGTTAATCGAATAACGATTTCCAGACGTTTGACGGCCATTGGAATGATTCAAAAGCAAGGAAATTGGCCGTACGAGTTGAAGCCGAAGGACGTCGAAAAGCGCAAAATGACCTGTGAATTATTGCTTCAAAGACACAGAAGAAAAAGTTTTTTGCATGGTATCGTGATGGTTGATAAAAAATGAATATCCTACGATAATCCAAAGCACAAAAAATCAAAGTGTAGGTCAGGCGAACCATCAACATCGACGGCAAAACCGAATATTCATGGCGTCAAGCTCATGCTCTGTATTTGGTGGGATCAGCTGGGTGTAGTGTATTATGAGCTGCTCCAACCCAACGAAACCATCACTGGGGAACGTTACCAACAACATTTGATGCAATTGAGCCGAGCATTGAAGCAAAAACGGCCAGATTACGCGATAAAGTGGTTTTCCTGCACGACAACGCTCGGCCACATGTTGCGAAACCGGTCAAGGAAACGTTAGAAGCGCTTAACAGGGATGTCCTACCACACCCGCCGTATTCCCCAGATATTGCTCTTTCCGATTATCATCAAAAAATCCCTTAAAATTAATGCACACTCCCAATATTTTGATAAATATCTCCCGATATTTAAAACTTTTAGTATAAAGAAGTGTAGGGAAATATTGCTAAGAAAGTGAAATCTGGGAATCAAATTCAGCAATATTATCTCTAATAAATTAGTATTAATACCTCTTCACTGAAATACATCTGATTTATAATAACGCATAATCCACTATTAATGGGTCGTATCTTTTTTATATAACAGTGTTTTTCTATATATGATGTTTCTTCTAAAGAAATTAGTTGAAGATTACTTTTATCATTTATTCCAAGAGTTCCACGAGTATCGACTACATGTAGATGATTTCCAAATTTCTCCAAATCCATGCAAATTGTTTTTAAATTTTCAAATTTTTTTAAGTGCTTTAATAATTTTTTCATATTATGTTGATCTGAAATAAAACGTATGTAATAATTATTTTTAATAACGCATAATTAATCATACATAATTTATACTAATTACACATAATATTATTTATTTGTTTTTATATACAAATATACAGGATCGTCCATGTAAAGTGTGATAACCTGCAAAATATTTGTCTAAAAATATTTGTCGTATCAAAAATTTATTCATGAGAAAGTTTTATGTGCTCGAAAGATCTTCTTAACTATATAAACAAAAATTCGTCCCCGCTCCCCCTTGAAGGGAATGGGGGTAATTATGTAGTTTAGGGAATGCAGCTCCGATCGTATTTTCCTTGAGATGTATTATACAAGTCAATTTCTTGAATAACCTCTAAAAGATTCTAGCCATCGCATTGTTTATTACAATGTTATTAACAAAAAAAGTTTCATAAATTAAACTTAATTGTTGTACACAGTATATACATAGAAATATAGCAAATAGTACATATATATGCGTGAGAAAGGAGCGGATTCCTTCCGTTTGCACCCTCTCTATAAAAAAGCTAGCCCATCTATTGAAATATTGTAAACCGTACACCTATATGCTCAATCTATCCTTTACATTTTTATACATAATTTGTCAATGAAAAACAATAAATACAAATATTGCTCGTTAATACTGCTACTAAATCCGACCGCACAACCTTGGTATATCTTGGGTAATGCTAATGCCGGCGATACTATAACTTTCATGTTTCATTACTCAAAAAATACTTAATAATAAAATACTTAATGATAAAATACGTTATTATAGTGTTTTAGAAATCTCCTGAGATAACCTACAAGAATAGGCAATAAAAAATATGGGGTTCTACTTTAAAAATTTAAGATGACCTTGTCCTGACCTTGACGACGCCATCCAAGGTCAAACTGATAAGATCACTAGATTGTTTTAGGCCCCACGACTTTTGCTTGAAACACTTTTCGGTAAAACTAATATTTTTCAAGATTTTTAAGGGTGTCAACTTTTTTGGGACACCCTATATACTTTGCATGTTTATTTTAAGGGGATTACCTTGTTTGAAGCACCCGAAAAACACGAATTTCATGAATTTTGTCTGCGGATTATACGTAAACTGCGGACTGTACGCGGATTGATCTGCGTTGAGTATTCAATTCTACTATGTTGGATTACCCGGCGCTGGGTGCGCAAACGCGAGTCGATTTTTCCTCGATGTTTTGAACAAAGTAGTGAAGGCGATTGTGAAATAAATATTTTGAAATTTCAACAATAACAGTGAACCTTTATTTTGAATGAATTGTGACTGGACGAGCTTCCTGAGAGGATCAAGTCATAAACGACATCTCCTCCTTTTTGCTTCTCTGTCTCTCTCTCTCTCTCTCATATCGGCTAGCCAGGCTGATCTCAACCGTAGCGCCTCTAGCGGAGGAATATAGTCAACTGAGGTTTTCGTAATGAGGAGACGACGACAACGTTTCTCACGCATAAATTTACGATTTCGGACTGAGTTAAAATATCTCAGCTTCTAGAGAATATAGAGCAAAAATAACGACAGTTTAATGAAATAATGTAAACCCAAAGAACTGATTAAGCCCATCCAGAATCTCATCTGTTCAGCCGTTATAGTCGAATGAGGAATTGTACCTGTGTTCAACTAAAGTCATCGCGTAAGTATACACGGTTGAACGCGAGCCCGTTGCTTGCGCATGCACTTGGCTTCGCGACACTACACATGTGGCTTGATATTCAAAATTATTTGTTACTAGTAATAAAACTATTGAGCAATAGTAATAAGTTACTAACTAACCAGTAATACTTTTTTGTAAGCGCGCGCAAGTGTGTGTATGTATATGTGTGCGTGCGCACATTACATTATGTATATATATGGGACATTCTTTGTCAAAAAGGCCACCCCCTCTGTCCAAAAATTGAAGCAACCTAGAAAATTTTTTCGCGGGTCATTTTGAAACTACACGTATGTAGTTTTTATTGAGCTGTGGCCTTTTCGGAAAAACCAAGATGGCGGACTTCAAATTGGTATCAATACGCAATGGTACAGAGATACGAAACACGAAATATTGGTTTATAGTCAATAAAACCATTTCAATTCAAACAAATGTAAGAGTCGATGCGTCTTCTAAGCTGTAGGGATAAATTTGTATAAAAGTAAAATATCCGCGAACCAACAAAAACCAATATGGCGGGAAAAATCATACAAATCCCAAAAATATCCGAAAAAACGCACTTTACGAAAAAAAAACGCCCCTCACTATTCTTCAATAGTTTTCAACGAGAAATACGATGATATCCTTGGTTTTAACCTTGACTCCAAATGTCATTTTCAAGGTCATTTCAAGGACAATTGTTCTTTACTACAAAAAAATCCGTATTCTGGACTGTATGAATGGACAGCATGTAAAATTTGACATCCAGATATGTACTCATTTGATAAAGTCAAAATGTCCTCCACGGGTCAACAAACAAAAACCAATATGGCGGGAAATTTCTCTGTTACTAGAAGAGCAAATACTAAGCATTTTCTGCATAAAATGCTGCTCCTTTGGTAGCATAAGAAAATCGTTTAATAACTACCGTTTTTGGTTGTTGAATAGTAAACGAGTGGTTTTTTAAAATTTCGGATACTGGTAACGCTGATGAGAATCTTTTATTCAAATGTCGTGTTGATTTATCGTGGTCTACCTTACTATAAAAGAAAATTTGTATGTTTTTGAAATGATTGCTTGCCCACATAAAAAGGGCTTTTGGTGTCAAAATAGCTTCAGATAGTTTAGCTAAGAGACTTGCTCGGTAAGCCTCTCTTTTGAATATAGCTCCTAAACCATCATATCTACTTTTACCGTGTGCGGTTGCGCAATAATACCATTCTGCTTCGATTCCAAAATCTTCTTTATGGTTAATGAGATTAGCGATCTGAAATCGGTTTTTGAAATGTTGCTTTGCACCATCCGTGACGTATATCATTTTTTAAACATTTTTAATAGTTTTTTAAATTTCTGGAATCAATTGCTTTTCAATTGTAAAGACGGCAGAAGTATCGTGCTTTAGACTATCTGAGAGGAAAATGCAACTTTTATGTTTTAATCCGGAGTTTTCTTTATAATAATATATAACCGGAAATACAGTACATTGCTGATTGTTAAAATGAAATGCTTGAGAAACATCTTGAACTACATAGAAATAATTTTCAGAAAAATCAAACATAACGACCCGATGAAAAATTTTTTATGCAAAATTTGGTATGAAATTTGTCCATACGTAATTATGTATAATTATATATAATCATATAAAATTATATATAATTATACACAATTATGTATAACAATATGTATAATTACATATAAATTTATGCGTAATTATGTAAAATTATATATGAATTTATATATATAATTATACATAATTATATATAATTATATATAATTATATATATAAGTAGAATGTATGAACATGAATGAACAAATTTGATACATAATAATATATAATTATATATAATTATATATAATTTTATATAATTTTATATAATTATATATGAACAATTTTTCATTGGGGAGTACTTCTCCATTCTTTAAATTCTGTTTTGTTGACGAAATAAATTGAGATTGCTGTTTTGCTATGAATGAATGTGATTT